TACTGGGGAAGAGTTGATGGCTGTGTTGGGGTTTCCTGTAGGACTGGAGGTTTGACTTTCTCCTGGGGCCCTGGAGACAAAGCTGGGGCCTCCTGCTGGACTGGAGTTTCACTCTCCTCAGGGAGCTCTGGAGGGGGAGTGGGGGCCTCTTCCTGGGTTGGAGAATGTTCTGCCTACATAGGAGGCTCAGGAGACTGATTTGGGGCCTCCTGCTGGCCTGGAGAAGGTTCGATTTCCTTAGGGGGCTCTGGAGGCTGAGATGGGGCTTGTGGTGGATTGAAGAAGGTTCTACCTGCATAGGAGACTCAGGAGACTGAGCTGGGGCCTCCTGCTGGGCTGGAGAAGGTTTTCCTTCTTTAGAGGCTTTTGGACATTGAGATGGGACCTCTTTTCGGCTTGGAGAAGGTTTGCCTTCTTTAGAGGCATTTGGACACTGAGTTGGGGCCTCTTTCCGCATTGGAGAAGGGTTGCCTTCTTTAGAGGCCTTTGGACACTAAGATGGGGCCTCTTCCTGGGCTAGAGAAGGTTTGCCTTCTTTAGAGTCCTTTGGAAACTGAAATGAGGCCTCTTCTGGATTGGAGAAGGATCTACCTGCATAGGAGGCTCAGGAGACTGAGCTGGAGCCTCCTGCTGGGCTGGAGAAGGCTGTCTTGCTGTTTTGAAGGAGGTTTAATTTCTTCAGGGGGACACAGAGTCTCACCTGGAAACTCCTGGTGAGTTGCAGAAGGTTCAATACCGTCAGATGATTTGGGAGGTTCTGGTGGAACGTCCTGCAGTACTGGAGAAAGTTCTAGTTCCTCAGGGAGCTCCGCAAGTGGAACAACAGTCGCCTGCTCAGTTGGAGATTTGAACTCATGGGGAAGCGGAGGAGCGTGTGCGGGGGTTTCTGGTAGACTGGAGAAGGTTCCACTTCTTCAGGGAGCTCTGGAGGGAGAGCTGCAGCCTCTAGCTGGACTGGAGATGGTTCAATGTCCTAGGGAGCTCTGGTGCAGCAGTTGTGGCTTCATACTGCACTGGAAAAGATTCAACCTCTTCAGGGGATTCTGGAGGTGAACTTGGAGCCTCCTGTTGGCCTGGCCAAAGTTTAATCTCCTCAGAGGGCTTTGGAGAGTGAGCTGGGGCTTCCTGCTGTATTGGAGAAGGTCCAAACTCCTCAGGGGGCTCTGAAGGCTGAAATGGAGCCTCCTGCTGTTCTGCAGAAGGATCACTCTCCTCTGGAGACATTGGAGGCTGTTTTGGGGCTTCCTGCTGGACCGGAGAAGGTTCAAAGTCCTCAGAAGGCTTTGGAGGCTGATTTGGGAATTCCTGCTGCATTGGATTAAGGCTCCAACTCCTCAGGGGTCTCTGGAGGCTGAGGTGAAGACTCCTGCTCGACTGGAGAAGGTCCCACCTCCACAGAGGGTTTTAGAGGGTGAGCTGGAGCCTCCTGCTGGCCTGGAGAAGGTTCAGCCTGCTGGGGAGGCTTTAGAGGCTGTGCTGACGCCTCCTGCTGGCCTGGAGAAGATGCAACCTGCTGGAGAGGCTTTAGAGGCTGTGCTGCTGCTTCCTGCTAGACTGGAGAAGGCTCAACTTCATCAGTGGGCTTTAGAGTGTGAGCTCGGACCTCTTGCTGGACTGGGAAAGGCTCAACCTCTTCCTAGGGCATCTGAGATGAAGCTGTGGCTGCCTGGTGAGTGGGAGGTTTAACTTTTGGGGGAAGTTTTAGTGGCTGTGCTAGGCCTTCCTGCTGAGTGGAATATAATTGAGTTAGGGCAAGCTCTACATCCACTGGTTTAATTGTGACAGTGGGCAAGGTTGAATGATGAATTGGATTCTGCCCTGGAGGTTGAAGAGTCATCTCATGAGTCACTGAACTTGGAGTTGTAACTACCTCAGGTGGCTGTAGAGACTGAGTCTGGGCCTCCTGCTCAGTTAGTGATGGCTCACTCCCCTCAAGTACTTCTAGAGTCTGAAATGGGGTTTCCTGTTGCAGAGAATGTTCTACCTTATGAGGGAGGGGGTCCTGAAGGCTTAGATGGGATTTCCTCTGGGAATGGAGATTTAACCTCTTCAGTGGTCTGCAAAGTCTCAGCTGGGCCTTCCTGTTGGAGTGGAAATGGTTCCATCTCCGTAGATGGGCTATGAAAGCTTTCATTGCCTGAGGAGCCTCTTGCTGGACTGAAGGTTCCTCCTCTTCAGGAAGCTCAGGACCTTCCACATCAGAAGGTAGAGTAGGCTCAAATCCAACCTCCTCAGGGGGTTCTGGAGGCTGACGATGCCAAGAGGTTGGTGAAGCTGGGGTCCCCAGGAATTCTAGGGGTAGGCTGTCTGGAGGATATATCAAAACTTGGGTCTAGAAGGTAGTCATCCTCAGGTTGATATAGCTGGTTAGTTATTTTTGCTAATTGGCCTTAAGTTCCAACAACAACTTTAGCAAGTCATCTATGCTGAGCTAGATCCTTTTTCAGGTTTGGAGGTGAAACAGTAAACTGTTGCTTTCGAACTATGACTTTCTAGAGGCAGCACAAGTATTTCAAATAACTGGTGACCTTCAGCCTGACTCATACCTGGAGTTTCAATCTTACTTTTGAGTTGAGGAGGCAGAGCTAAGGCCTGATTCTGATCCCAGTCTAGCACAGGACCCACCTCTGGAAGCTTCTGATGTGGAGGTAGGTGGTCATTAAGATCTTGATGTGTGCCAGAGAACTGGTCTGGCATTGGGGGTGGCTCTGTAGCTGAATCCATGTCCAAAGTCTCAGTTAATTCCTGAGGCGGGGCCAGCATCTGGGCTGGAACGGGAGAATCCATGGTCAGAGCCCTCTGGATCAGGCAAGGATATAAGCTTGTGGGGCGATTCCGTAGGTGATCAAGGGAGGGCGAAGACCAGGGTTCAGTCAGGTCCAGGTCCGACTCTGGAAATGGGGCAGCCAGGAGCAGCAGCCAAAGGGGTTGCAGCGCGAGTAGGAGCCAAGGGGACCAGACGGACATGACACACGGAGGCTCCTGGGCGCAGCGATCCAGGCCAATGAGGCGGCGCTGCGCCCGAAGCGGGAGCCAAACTGTTTCAACAGCCCTTGATGCACGCGTACCTTAGCAACCGCCAAACCGTTATGACAGCCCTTTATGCACGCGCACCGCGTGCCCCTCCCCCGCCGCATGCCTCATCCTTTATTTATGACACCTTTGTTTATGCACCACTCAGAGGTCATGCCACTATGGCCAGCCCTTTTCCTAGAATCACCAGGTCCCAAGTTTCCCTTCCCCAGAAGATGAAGCAGGGCTTCCTATCCCCCACCCTTACAGCAAAGCAGGATTAGGACTCCTGTCCCCACCCCAGCCCTCAGGCTCCAGCTTCACCAGCTTCTAGGCATACTCGAAAGTGCTGGGCCGTTTCTGGCAGCCAGAACTCTTCCACCTCCAAACTCAGCTCCAGACCTTCTTCCTCTTGGCCATACTGCTTCCAAGAAAAGTAACTGACCTGTAAAATGAGAGCTATTTGGGGACATCAACACCGAGACATTAAAGTGATTCCAAAAGGTTGCTATTTCCTCTAAACTCTCCTCTCCTCTTTGTTCCATATTTATTAACTCACCACTATGTTAGGTAGGGGACCACTACTCCGTGGCGGAAAGATGAGGCTTTCTGCTCCCAGAAAGATTTACAGCCTCGGAAACCCTATACAGGGTCGCTAAGAGTCGGAATCGACTCCACGGCACATAACCCCACCACCACGACTCAGTGATGATGCCAAATTTTCTGGAGGAGGCTTAGACAATGGGCAGTTTCATCTGAGAGGGTTTGAATCCCAATACAAAGCATTTCACATTGACATGGAAAAACTTCCCCCATCTCACCTTGTTTCATTCAACACAGTCACACATCTAGAAAAAATACCCCAACTTTTTGGAGGTCCACCTTTGTACCTTTGTGTACCATGGAGAAGGATGTCAAAGTAGCTAGCATGTTAA